AGGAGGCTGGCCTGAATTGTTTTTCTGCAGCTATTTGGCATTGGTATGGAATGACTATGGAAGCAGTGTTCAGACTTCAATATAGAATATATAGTTTGCCAGGGCATGAAGGGGCAGGGCACTGTGTTATTGTCAGATGGCTCTGAAAAGCTGGGGAGAAAGACAAAAAATCCTGGCAAAGGTAGAAAGTTAAAGCTTAGCTCAATATCAAGTGTCTCAAATCCATTCTCCTTGTAAGTCAGGTGTCATGTTGATAATTTGTCCTGATAATTTGGAGGAGCCACAGCTTTGCCAGCAAAACTATTCAGAAGGAGGTGAAATAAGGGTGTGTATTGGTAGTCTGAGCAGGCATGGCAGAGTGAAATAGGAAGCAATGCAAACTCCATGGCAGTCTTGTGTTCATGTATAATCACTTACATAGAATTTCATTCACAGACCAGGATGAACACATGGTCATCTTCTCATTAGAAGAAGCCTTCCGTAGCTCTATTTGTATTACAAATAGAAATTAAACATTAATTCAGAGATCAGTTCCCTCCAGCCCTTCCCACACTAGTCCCGCAGCGTGGAGGGTGCAGAGGGTGTTGTGTCAGCGCATGGCAGCAGGTGTGAGTTCCCTGCATGCACGTGGCACCCCCAGCAGCCCCAGTATCCCCCCTTGATTCACTGTGTGACAGAGAGGGTGGGCACCTATGCATTTCTCTGGGAGATGTGGCAAGGGAGCATGGAGCAGAGGGGAGAGCTCAAATGGAGATGTCTCTGCAGGGACCAGGCACAGTGGCCACCGTTGCGTGGCACCTTGGCCACCTCTGTCCCTTCCCTGCAGGCTGAGGAGACCCAGGGTGGACATCAAGCTGGATGTGGTCACTCCTGCCCCTCTTCTCACTATGCTAAACCTCCAGCTCTTTGTATCCTCAAGTGTGAGAGTGCATGCTTTAAAAGCCAGCATGTTTGTAATCATAATGACCAATTGGGGAGAGAAAAGAAAATTCTCCAGAGAAATCTTTAAGAAGTTGCCTTAATGGAGGACAAGGTCTAATGGACCCCAAGACCACCATGCTCCTAAAAGCAGAAACAGAAAGTGGCAAAGTGGAGTGACTATAGTTTACACTTTGTGCCTGGTGGGAGAATGAATGAGTGTTCATGATAGTAGTGAATGGCAAGCAAACCTCAGGGGTAAAGTTTCTTTAAGACAGTGACCTCCTCCCTAATGTAAGCTACCTATAGAGGTATGTAAACAATTTCACTGCCTTTAAAAATTTATATTCAACGGACTTGTCATCCCATAAAACCTCAAAGGAATAATGGAAGGGAAATGTGCTTGTGTTTCATGTTAGGTTTGCACCCTGCACTTCAATGTTCCAGTGTCTGTCTAAAAGAAAATAGGTCAGCAGTACATTTTCTTTCAGAAAACCAGCTACCTTATGTTAATATGTTGTGTGGTAACTTAGGCTCATTTCTCAAACCAATTAGCAGGGATCTTCAGAGTTAAGTTTGCCAACATTGTATTTCAATCCTATGACCTAGATGGATTTTTAATTATTTTCTTACTGTTTAAATAACTTCCAGAGTACACCACAGTAGGTGTTAACATCTCTCAAGTGTAGTTAATAAATTGCTTTTTTCCCCCCCCCCCCTTCTTCTTTCCCAGCTTGTTCTGGGTTTGAAACCAGTGTTTCCTATCAAAACTAGGGTTAATGTCATCACTGGAGGTCAGCTGAAGACTCAGTCTCAGGTGTTTTACATGTGTTCACTTAATAGTGTTTGCCCTTAATGGTAAACCAGCAATCACCCCTTCCTGGCCCCCCCGACTATCAGTTAACCATGGGTGCTCACTGAACGTGGAGTAGGTAAATTGCCAAAGGTGTGTACTAAAGCAGGGAAGGTAATTTTAAGCTTTTTGTTGAAGGAGGAGTAATAAACCCCAACACTAACCACACAGTTTGCACTACAGAGAGTAAATAACCTTGTCCTGTCTCCCTTTCTTCACTGCCCATCCAAAATCTGTGCAGCACCCTAAGTTTTTAGGCAAGAAATTCCAACTGCTTCCCATAAAGGAATTTGCTCTTTTTTCACTATATATAAAAATGCACTTTAAACTTGTAAAACATATAGCAGTTAATTTTTTCCTGAAAGCAGAGCTTGCTACATCATGTCTATTCCCAGAGCTGTCAATCATTATCCAGCCAGCATATTGTTCAGAAGGTGGAGCTGTCAGGCAGAAGGATTAAAAGGTAAGGAAAGGAAAGCTCCTGCTTCTTGCTGATGCCAAGGGTAAGCAAGATTATGTCAAACCTCTAAACAGAGTCCCCTTTCTCTGCCCCACCCCCTGCTCCTATATAACACATGCTGCATTTAGCAACACCTGCTTTTTACCCAGCTGGTGCTGGGGTGTGTGTGCCTGCTTCTCACCCCTGCTGATGGATGCTCTTGCTGGCAGTCTCCTTGGATGGCTCTGCTTGGGCATCACCGTCCTTTTTGGGGTGACTGTGCGCTACATGGCCATGAGAAACCCTGTGGAGAAAGCAAACCTGCTGGTCTGGAGCCTGCTGCCTGCCTTGCTGGGGCTGCTGTGCCTGGCAGTGCTGGGTGTGGGCTGGGGGCTGGTGGGGCTCTGCTTCTCCTGCCTCCTCTCCTGGGGGTACCTGGGCGGCGGCGCGTTGCTGCCTGTGGGCGACAGAGCCGTGCTCATCACAGGTAAGGAGCCACGGGGGTGCTCTGGGAAGCAAAAACTGGCTTTTCTCACAAGTGGGCTGGAAAACTTTCTGTCCTTGAGTTAGGGACCTATAAAGTGCATGCTTGTAAGGTTTTCCTTTTTATTTTTTTTTACTGTTTTATTTGCTTTGCCGGAGATGTTTTTCCAGGTAAATAAGTGGCCTGAAATTAAGCTGAAAAGCATCTTAATAGATGCTGTTATTTTTTAGTGTCTCATTTAATCTTTACAAGTAGCTTTTTAGACATACTTGTGAAATTAACTGGTGCAAAAAAGCCTGAGAACACTTAGGATTGTCTAATTTTTTAGGAGAGACATTAGTTTCTGGAAGCCCTCAGAACACTCCAATCATACATTACTTTTGTTTACTTGAATTTATTGCACTGGTTACGGATGTATGATTGTCTTTTGGTGTACACGTTTACACAGTGCACACTGTATATATATCATGTATATACTTCAAGCCACTGGTTTGGTGCCATTTCTTTGAAACGATGTATGAAATCATTCGGCACTGAGTAATTTCCTCCACTTAGCAGTGAAAGTTCAGAGCTAATGAATTCAGTCTCTGTTAACGCTCTGGCCACTCAAAACCCACTTTTAGTTTGCAGGGATGGCACTTTTGTAGTTTTATAGCTTTTTTCCTGTTTCTTCTAAAACTTTAAATGTTGTTTATTTGTGTTAATCAAACCTTTAAACCAGAGTGCCTGCCAACTGCTTCTTGCACTGTTAACTTGCTTTTATTTGGTTTATATTTTCTTTTTCCCCTCTGGAAAGCTGAATTAAATTGCTTTCGTTTATATAGCTATTTCTTGCAGAATTTCATTTTGTTTTATAGGGACACCTGGAAATAATTTAGATTTGTTTAGCAAGCTTTAATATGGGGGTTAAATACAAAAGTTGAGCGAGAACAAGATGAGCAGTGAGTTCTCCCCTTGTGGTTTATCTCCTCTCTGAGCTTCTCGCTGGAGGTGTCTCAGATGAAGCGGGTATCAGGCAGAGGGAATAAGGAGCACTCCTTTCCCACCCCTGCAGACACAGGGGTTGCACTTGCACTTGGGCATCTCCTTGCTTTTTGTAAGACTGCAGTTTTTCAGGAAAAAAACAAACCTCTCTCAGAGCTTACCTGCTCTAGAGAATTTGAATTAAAGTGATATAGGGGAGTGAAGACTATTTTGATATATTCCAGCAGGTGAAGAAGGTACTTCAGGACTAGCTGTCCTGAAGAAATGCAAGTTTGGACATCTCTGTCAGTTAACACATCTGAGGAGGCTCTGCTTAGCCTTTGAGCCTAGACTGGTATGCAATCAATCAATCAAACCCTCCATCAACTGAAACAGAAGTTTTACTTCATACATTTCTTGGTTAAATTGCCCTGATTGTAGCACTGTTTCCCCACACTAACGGTGGGATGTGTGCAGATGCAAGGTGACCTTTTCTTCAGTTTAGACAAGACCTGAGGCAGGCACTTTATGGGAAATAGTGACTTTTTATTATTTCTTTATTTCTTTCCCCCTGCCCCTTTCAGTCCCACAGGCTTGAGGAATGCAGCTGTGCTCTGGGCAGCTGCCACACAGCACTCGTGAGACAGCTCCTTTGGCCAGAGGATGGAGTAAACTCTGTGTGTGTTTCCATGGGTTTTGTCAGATGCTTTTTTGGTCCTCTTTGGATGTCCCTTGCACAGGTTCTGCTGTGTGTTATTTAAGCAGACAGTTCACTGAAGCACCACAATATGGGAAAATCTGCCCAGTTGTCAAAATACTTTTTCACATGAGTGAGTCTGGGTGTGCGATTGGTCTTAAAGTCATTGGTAAAGCATTTCTGATGATCCTTTTGCTGGGTGTGTCCTTAACCAGAAGTTGCTGTGCATGTGAACACTTTATTGTAGTTTGGTAGGTGGAATAGTGAGCTTCCCAAAAAATTAAGTTACCACAAAATTCTGGAGTATCAGGAAATGCAGAAGTTTTGCCTCAGTTATTCTTTTAACATGGGCTTTTCATTCTTGGCATGTGAGTTGGTGTTTCTAATGCTCAGTGTGAGTTGATGATAAATTTCCAGTAATGATTTGGTTTCAAATGTCAGTTTGACTGACAAAAAGTCAGGTCTGACTGCCTTCCTTATAATAAATCTTCTCATAATTGTCAGATTTTTGTTTTTGGCATAGAAGCAATAGAAGGTGGGGGGAAGGGAATTCTCTGTTTCTACCCTCTAGAGACCTAAGTTTTGTTTGAATTTGGGTTGAAGGGTAAAGTTTCTCTGGACTTCACTAACTGGTCTGAGGACAAACCTAGTTGTTGAGCACTTTCTCCCTTCCCAAATTAAAGCTTTGTTGTAAAATTAGGTGATGTGTAGTTCTGGCTGTGTGCTTGCTGGGAAGGAATTGGGATTTTTTTATGAGAGAGGAAGAAGGAAAGACACCCCACCCTTGAACCCAGAAATCTGTCGTGTCTTTGGGATATTTGCAGGCCCCTTCATGTCTCTTCAGGGAATTCCAAGAATGCAGGTTTGTTCTCCTTCAGGTCAGGGCTGAGGGAAGCTAAGTGTGATATATGTGGTGCTCTGGTGCCTCTTCAACAAACTGCAGACTTCAAAAACCACTGTTTTTTTTTTAAAAGGATTTAAGTAGAGCATGAGTAATTCTTGTGTTGATAGGTCCAGGCATTTAGTACATGTTTCTTTTAAGCCAGCTGGAATGAATATTTTTTCACCTTTCAGGACTAAAGCCTCAGGTAAAAGACAGAACCCAGAAGTTAAGATCTATCATGATGAAGATGAGTATCTTTGGCAGTCAAATTCTGTTGACTGGGATTTGAGTACAGGAACAGGCCCATGAATAACTGATAATATCTGCTCGGTGTGCCAATATCACAGATTAACCCTTATAGTTTCTGCTAGAGTTAAGTAGGAAGTATCTCAGCTCTTTGGCAGAAGAGGAAAGGAATGGAGTGCCAGCTCTTTGTCCCTCATTCTGGTTTTCAGCCATGCAGGTGGGTTTGGAAGTTGAGTGCTCATGTGATCAATTGCTGTTGCAGGAGATAGCTGAGCCTTGGGATAGCTCCACAGCTCTTGGGGCACATCAGCATCCAGGATCTTTCTTTGCCATAGTTGCAGGGGAGGGTGCAGTGCCGCATCATGGGACATGCTGGTGTACGCCTGTTTTACAATGTAAAAACTGCATTAATCAACTCATTTTCCTCCTGCTATTGCCCTTTGCAGAACTCCTGCAGCACAGTCTGTAGGAACTCCTCCTTGTCTCTGTCATAGCCCCGTGTCACTTCCTTGGGAGTCTGGGGGGCAGATGGGCAAGATGTTTGCTCCTTTGCTAACATGCTTCTCAGTAGGTGGGAAGAATGGAAACTGGAATTTAAAAAGATACAGAGAGAAAACACTTAAAAGCATCTTAAGGTAGTGGCAGCAAAATGCTGTGTCAAAGGGACAGGCTTGTGAATCAATTGAATTATTAATTAAATATTCATAATTGTTACTTGGTGGGAGGAACTGCACAATTATAATTGCAGAGATTGCTGTGTGTTTGCATTAAGTGTGCTTCTGCTGTTTAGTAGTTCATGGCTTTACATACACAAAGTTTGGAAATAAGTTTAGAGGAAGATAGAGAGAATGTGAATTTCTGATGCAACTTTGCATGAATTAAATAGCTGGTGTTGTTTGGCTTGGCCTAAAAATGCCATTCTGAAGCTTTCTTAGGGTTTGAATGCTTTGAGCTCCTTTGCAGGTAAAGAAACAGCTTTAGCTTGGTGCCAGCCTGTGACCAAAAAGTATTTTTCAGGAAGATTCAGGTGATAGATGTTTGAATAAAATAACACAACTTCTTTGAATTAACGAACAGAACCCAACAATTTATTTGAATTCCAGTGCCCTGTAATTGCTTTGTCTATCTGAGACTGCAAGTTAAAGTACTTCTGTGTTGTGGTGTGTTTTTTTTTTTTCTTCTTTTTTTCTGGATACTTTTGTTATGAGGTTTCAATTTGAATATTTATATAAAACTGATTGGGGGGGTTATTTCTGTAAATCTGAGAGCCCCTCAGTGGGAGAACATGAGCTGGTGCCATCAGCTCTGAGCCAAGGGGACATGAACTATCAGTCTTTGTGGAACATGTGAAGGTCCAGCTCCTCAAACCTTCAGATCTGCATGTTTCTTCCTACTCTCATATGTATTTCAATGACTATTTCATCATCATCTTTTAGTTACATTTGTGTGTATTTCCAAGTGTTTTTTTAGATGATGGTTTAGGACAAACTCACTTTTCAAGTGTCTTTTGTTACTTTCAGGAAGCGATACTGGGATTGGACATGCACTGGCTAAATACCTGGACAGCCTGGGCTTTGTTGTGTTTGCTGGGGTTTTGAATAAGGATGGACCTGGAGCTGAGGAGCTGAGACAGACCTGTTCTCAGAGACTCTCTCTTCTGCAGCTGGATATAACCAACGCCACCCAAGTCAAAGAAGCCTATAAAAAAGTCTCAGAGAAGTTGCAAAATTCAGGTACAGCTTTTTTATGTTTTGTTTTGGTTTTGTTTCCATTATAATGGGAGCACTAATGTAGCTGCTCACAAGGTGCATCTCTTGCCTGTTGGCTGCATCGTGGCTTGTGTGTGGTCATTTCCACACCACAGTCTGTAGGCAGTCAGGGTGCAATTTATATTGGTGACTCCTGCTTTTTGGGACAGACAAAAAGTAATGATGACTGTTCATGGAGTGGGCAATGTGTGTCTGTAGCTGCAGGTCACCTCTGCTTTATTCCAGAGGCACCATCCAGCTCATCAGTTCAATCTTCATGGAATTGATTTCCTTCTGTGTAGCAGCCCTGTGCTTTTTCCTCTTCCCAGGGCTCTGGGGAGTTGTGAACAACGCGGGCATCCTGGGCTTCCCTGCTGATGGTGAGCTGCTCCCCATGAGCACATACAGGCAATGCATGGAGGTCAATTTCTTTGGGGCTGTAGATGTGTCCAAGACCTTCTTACCCTTGCTTCGGAAATCCCAGGGGAGGCTGGTGAATGTGTCCAGCATGGCAGGTGAGCAGAACCAAAGCACTGAATAAATTTCTGATGCCACAGCAAAAAAACAATGGCAAAAATGCTGAGGAAGGTGTTGGTCCATTTTGCTTGTCAACAGGGAATTGATATCCAGGTAATAAGCCCAGGTTTTTCTTTTGCTTGGGAAGCCATTTGCAGAAAACCAGCCCTTAAAGAAGAAAAATGTAATACAGCTAAAAACACACTGTTACATAAAGGACAGTAGAATTCAGACCTGTGTGAGCTTCCAGAAAGGTGAGTGGTAAATCACAGGTGCTTCTGTACCATTTTTCAGCAGAAGTCTGTGACCACCTCAGTGTGTGATTGAGCCACACTGTGGAGATGGCCAAAAGCTGTCTGGTTTTTGCAGAGACAGGCTGTCTTCCATTTGGGAAGGTTGCAACTTTTTTTTAATACTTTGAGTTAAATTGGAGTAAATCTTTTGAGTAAGTTCATGGCATTTGCCATTTGTAACAGTCTACAATAAATGTTAGATATTTCACTTGGGCAGCTCCACCTCTATTGTAGGGCACAAGTACTATGGTTAGAGTGAGAAAGTACAATGATAAAACACCTGCTGAAGAGAAACATTTAATCCTTCAAGAGCAGAAGCTAGTATTATTTTTTGCTGCAACCTCTTGTTCTTTTCAGAGTGCACAGTCCTAGAGTGTGGCCTGCTAATAACCTGGGACATGAAGAGAGCATGATAATTTCTTTAAAAATATTTTGGGCACCTTCTTAAGTATATTTAACCTAACTTATTAGCAAAGTGGTATTTTTTCATTAATTCAATAACTTTTTCAACATTATTAACAGCATATAATGTGCTTTCAAGCTTTGTCCCATAAATTGCATCCTGTGCTTACTATTTATGTATGCCTTTATAAAAAACCTTCTATTCTAGGAGGACAGATGAGATGCTAGGATGTAGGAACCAAAGTAATACAGTATCTGGTAGCCAACAGCTGAGGAGCAAGAATGCTTCTTTGAAAACTGAGACCTACTAGGAGCAGGATATCATGATGCTGGGAAGTGTTTTGGTTTAGGACCTCTTAAGGCTTTGCCATATCACCTGCCTCACAAATTTTCCTTTGCCCTGTCTGCTTGGACCCTTTTGCACAGCTGGTGTCCATCTGAATCCTGCTGTATTGCTGGGGTGGTTTGGGAAGGTTTTCCCTTGTATTCATGGCTTATGTTGAGGATGTGGCCTCAGCCCAGCTCCAGCACTGTCATCTGTTTTCTTTTTATAATCCCAAGTTTGTTTGCTCTCTGCACAGTTGTGTTTATGGTTGTTGCTGACACTTGAAGAAATCAGGACTGCATGATCAGAGGAACCGTTCTAGTGCTGCTCTGCCCCCCAGCCCTTGCAAGCACAGAGACAGAGGACAGACCTCTGTGTTCTGAGCACCCAAGTGAAGCTTGCACTTTTGGTGTTTTGGGTCAGATGTCTTAACTTTTGGCATGAATCCCTGACCTGCCTTGCAGAAATAAGTGGAGAGCTTTACTGTGCTGAATGGTTTGCCCTTACAGGAGTTGATAATGACCCCGCTGAAACAAAATAGCTGTTTGCACAGATGTTCCTGCAGCCAGGCTGCTTTGGGTAAATAACTTCCTCTTAACGTGGGGTCTGAGGGGCTGTCCTGGTTTGGTAAAACATTAGCAAGCAAGTTAGCAAGGGCTTGTTGTGCTGAGTCTATTCCTGTCTGCAGAGCTATTTTAACTGGTCTTGAGGTTAGCCTGACCTGAGAGGGAAAAAGTATGTGATTCAATTGACTCAAACCAATTGAAGCTCTAACTTGCTCAGATACATACAGAAGAATAATTAACATTACTTCTTCAAAGGTATGACTCTGTGTAAGGAGCTCCCATGATACCTTGGTCGTTGCAGTACAAAGCCCAGTAAAAGGCACCAATGGTTTACCTGAAAGTTCTCCTCTATCGAAGTATCTTTGAAAAGAAGGTTCAAATACTTGGAGATAAATGTGCAATGGTTGAAATGGAGGCTGTATCAAAGGATGTGCCCAGCTACCCATGCAGGCAGGAGGAGTGACACATCCCAAGGAGAAGGGTTGCCCATTCTGTTCCCTCCTCCCCGCCTGTGGTGGCTGTGATGACCCTGAGAACTGGCAGTGATAAGTGTCTTTGGATTTTTCAAAAGCTGGAGAAGTGACAATCTGCCAGTTTTTGAAAGAGAGGAAATCTCTGGTTTTGGAAGATACTATTTTCTGGAATAAAAACGTATGGATTTATTTGAAATTCACCCAAAGCAGTGGCTTTTTTTTTTCTTTTTTTTTCCCCCTCTGAACAAATGCTGCTGATATTAGACAATATAGAATTTAACTATAGGCAGGGGATCTGCTTCTACAATGGGTCTCAGGGAGTCCTGTTGCCTGGGGTGGAAATCTCTGGTTTTGGAAGATACTATTTTCTGGAATAAAAACGTATGGATTTATTTGAAATTCACCCAAAGCAGTGGCTTTTTTTTTTTCTTTTTTTCCCCCTCTGAACAAATGCTGCTGATATTAGACAATATAGAATTTAACTATAGGCAGGGGATCTGCTTCTACAATGGGTCTCAGGGAGTCCTGTTGCCTGGGGGTGTGATTCCAGCTTTGTTTTATCCATGGAGGTTTTCCCTACTCCTGCTACCTCTGGTCTTTCTGAAACTAGCTGGAAAGAACTGGAAGATGAGTTGTCTTTATAAAGCTAGAAATGAGATTACTTACCCTGTTGTAACTGGTTTATAATAGGAGCTTGGAATTCATGTTACAGTGACAACTAGAACAGCAGCGTTAAATGATTGCTTCACTACTTATATGAATGAAAACATTACCTGTGTTTCTGAAACTAAGTCTTAACTTTCAGCAATTTTTACCCTTAAATGCAATACAGTTTGGTTTTTTTCTGCCATACAAGGTGTCTTATCAGGTGTTACTGAGCATAATTGCTATAAGCAACTGCTAATTTACAATGTTAACTTTTTTTTAACCTCTAGAAAGAAATGATTCCCTCACTGACTTGTCTTTAACCTCAGTGTGAGCTGCATAATTTTGTTTGTGCTATAATCTTCCTTCTAAATCACAAAAATAAAGGCTGGAAAGAGTCACCATCGAGCTTTATCATGTTTATATTGTTCCTGCAGGAGGCATTCCACTGCCAAGGTATGCTGCATATGGTGCATCAAAAGCAGCTCTGTCCATGTTTTCTGGAGTAATGAGGCAAGAGCTTTCCAAATGGGGAATTCAAGTTGCTGCAATTCATCCATCAGGCTTCCGAACAGGTTCGTATTTGACATTTTGGGTAGTTCTTTCTGCCTTGCTTCTTTCCCTCTACCTCCAGCATCCTCAAACAGAGCCTGAGAGATTCTCAGCAGTCAGAGCAGTCGGACTTTGCCCCCATTCTTCATGTTGCTTATGGAAATTAAGATCCATGTTTCGTTGTGAGAGATGTTCCCTCCAGTTCTGTGTGCTTCCCTTGTGAGTCAAGGTTAGCCCTTTCTCCTGGGCAGGCCTCTCTCTGATTTGAGACAGGACAGGGTTCAGGTCATTGGTGCCTTCCCTTTGCTGTAGCTGTGATGAAGTCACCAAACTGAGCATCAGGGTGTGGTTGATCAGTGCTGCAGCTGACTTGTCCTGCACGAGAGCAGCAGGACTCGCTGTTGGTCCTGCCTTCCTAAGATCAGAGCTCTCCTTGTTGAACTGGGATCAAACATCCACAGCTCTACCTCCCACCTTGCTCACTTGCTGCCAGTATTCCTCTATATAATCTCTGATCTCTCCACTCCTTCCCTTTGCTGCAATCCTGCTGCTTTCCAAATCCTCCTTCCCCTCTTCTGAGCAGGTTCTGCAGCTCCCATCCAGGTTACAGCCTCCTCTCCTGCTGCATGCACCCTTGCTGCCCTCTGTGCCCACCTTGGGGCAGGGTGGGTGTCACACAGCTCCTTGCTCTGTGGACATGCCTGGCAGCTCCCTGAGGACAACATCAAATCTCACTGCTACCTACAAGGAAGGTGGTGGAGAACAACTTATTATCTATTAATTATAAATTAATGTGCTTGTTATCCTCTCATGTTGCTGCTCCAGGTATACAAGGCACATCTGACCTGTGGGATAAGCAAGAAAAGGAGCTGATGGAGAACCTCCCAGCAGACACAAGGCAAGACTATGGTGAGGACTACCTCCTGGGGCTGAAGAGCTACCTCCTGCAGATGCCTGCATACTGTGATGCTGACCTCTCCCCTGTGCTGAGAGCAATCCTGCATGCTCTGCTGGCCAGGAGACCACACGGCTTGTACACCCCTGGCAAAGGGGCTTACGTGCCCCTCTGCATCTTTTGCTACTTTCCTCTGTGGTTCTATGACTTTTTCATTAGTAAGATGCTGAGTCTGTCCCAAGGGCACTGAGGACATCAGAAGCTGAAAGCAAACATCTCTAAGGTATCCGTCAGCATTTGTCTTGCTTGATGAGAGAACTGGGAAAAACTATTTCAAGACACTGCTCTTTATTTTAGTGTCTTTGTTAAATTGTATTTACACTGCCTTGCAAGCAGAGGTAAATCTCTGTGTTAAGAGTAATGCTCAGGAATAGCAGTGGATGAGCAGAAATAGACAACTATCCCCTGAAGGGGCATTTTTTTGAGGAATGTCAATGTTTTCCTGATGTCTTTGTATCTTGCCTTCTGTGTAAGGTATCTCATGAGGTCATATAGTTCCTGTCTGCTTCAAAGGGAACCACCAGCACACAGACAGATGTATAACCTGTTTTTTGAAACAAAACAGAAAATAAATCTTCAAGAGTCAACCACCTTCTTCAACTTTATAAACATTATTCCTGTCATTGGAGAGATTTAGAAATGTCTAATGCAAATCTTTTTCACTGCAGCTTCAGCCTAATATGTGGGGTGGTTTATTTTTTTGCTTCTGTTGCTGTTGGACCTGAGAAATTATTGCCCTTTTTTCCTCCAGATTTTCTAAAGTAAATTTGCAATGCTTATAATATGTCCTCTTTGCTAGACTAAGCAACATAAATTGGTTGGGGAATAAATTAACAAAGACAGATCAAGACCTTCACAAAAGAAGCAAACAGTCTCCTTCCTTCAGTGTTATAAAAGGTAACAGTAAGTACATCAGCTACTACTTTGATAAGATTGTCTTGGTCATTCTGTGCATTGCCTGTATATGTCTGTGGTGCTACAATTATGAGTAAACTCTGTTCTAACTTCTGCTTTTTGAAGATTCCTTATTTGGTTTGGGTTTATGAAAACTTGAGTTTTTCCACCATTTCTCCTGACACCTTCCTGTGTCTCCCTCTGCTCTGGTGAGAGTTGGTGCTTACTCCCCTAAGATCAGTCAGTATTCAGGGTGGCTTTACTGGAGTCCAGTGTCCATCTTCTGAATGAGTTTGGTTGCTCCCCTAAACTCATTCTAGGAATGTCAGGTGCCCTCCCTGCTGCTGTTTGTCCCTGTGCCCTATGTCAGAAAATGCTCAGCAATGCCAAGAGGTTGGGCAGCTCCCCTATTTTTTTTTTCCTACCCAACTCTGTTTTTGCATTACCCATCACATCCTTGGGCTTTGAAAGGCTGTGATATTTTCAAAGAATCCTCATCCCCCTTGAGTTCTCTGGCTTGGCTGTCTGTCCTGTGTCTTGCTTTGACAAGTTGCGTTTCTTTTCTGATGATGAAAAAATAAAAGTCATTAGACTCTGGACTTTAAATGTAGATGCATTTTTTTTCTTTTCTTTCTGAGCAACCTTTAGTCTTCTCTCATAATCCTTCCCATCTGATGCCCTCTTGCAGCCAGCTGAACAGAATCACAATTGAATTTACATCTCTAGTATTTCTTCCATCTCCTTTCTGCATCTTTTACATCAAGGCAAGGCTCCTGTGCATGCAGAGGGTGCTCAGCAGACTGAGCCCACCATTTCCATGCCCCAGGGTGGAAATCTTCTTGTCCTGTACCTTTTGTCATGGTTACTGCTTTTCCTACAGAGGCTTCTCTCCTTGTGGATTCACATCAGTCCCCTGATTACAGTCTCACACTTTCCTTTGAGAAAGTGTGACCAAAACTGTTTTTCACTCTGAAAATCTGGGACTGTTTCTGTATTTTACCATTTCTTCCATTAATTCCTGAATTTTTTATTTGTGAGCAGAAGGACATAATAGGCCCCCTGATATTTAACAGCCGGGTTGTTGTGGCTCTCATCTGCTGTCTGATCTGACCCCTTTGTGCTTTTGGGAACTGGTGCTACAGACCCTCCCTTCCTGGTCTGGCTGTGTTCCCATAGTAGGAGAGCACTGAGGAGGAAGATGGCAGGGGACCTTTCCCAGGGAAAAGGGACAAAATGGCAGTCAGTGCCTTGTTTTGGGCAGGACACATCCCAAAAGGCACAAAGGCAATGGGTGAGCTGAACAGAAAGGTGGGTGGGATGGGGTGCAGTGCTGGGGATGTGCTGAGCAGCAACCTGTGAGTTTCAGTTACCTCCAGGGTGAGGGAACTTGCTGCCTGTCAGCCTCTCTCCATCTTCAACAGAGGTGGTTGTTTTCCTCTAAAGCTACACCTAAATTGGGTGTTAGGTGGGTTGGAATTTTTGCCTTTAGGCACACTATATATTGCACAACCAAAATTCCTCTTAGCAGCCAGTGAGCTGTTTTCCATAGCTGTCTTCATACCCATCTTTAATTGTTGCTTTGTTGTTTGGCTGTAGTTGTGATGTTTTTTTCCTCCCCTTCACTTAATATGAATATTATCTTGCACTTTGCAGACATTAAACTAGGCACCTGCATGGAAGATTTGATTTATTACTTTTTTTAACTTTTGTTTACCAGGAAATTCATGTTCTAAGTAGTAATTTTATCTCTTCACCTAACGATAAAGATATTTTAGCAAGTCCCCAGTCATGGTGGTATCAAAGATTGTTATTGTTTTGTTCCTACAGGAATCTTTGTGTTTTAAAGATAATTCTGTTGTAACCCATTATTGAATTTTGTGTCACTTAATGGGCTGTAGTATTAAAGGTCAATTTCTTCTCCTAATGGCTTCTCTGGCAAATAATCCAAACTGTGAGGCTGGGAGAGCTGCAAAATAAGTTGTGTTTGACCAACAGACCCATGTGGATGGTAATGCTGATGGGGACCAGTCTCTGGGTGTTACACTCATTTGGTTACTAAAAAGACTGACCTAATACAGAACTATTGCAGGGTTGGGAAGAGAAGATGTTTTAAGTTCTAGCAGTAGAAATGGATATATTAAAAAACCCCAAACTAACCACCATGATTTGGATGTATTTTCAAAGGTGTTTTGAAGAAAAAGCATATGGCATGAAGGAAAGCATCTGAGAAATGGAAGAAATTGGCTGTAGTCCTAGAAAAGGCCTCATAAATAGTACTCTAAAATGTTACTTAATGCCTCACACTAATCACGTGTGTATATATTAAAAACGTGTATGGCTTAAAAGAAGTTATATGCTGCAGAAATAATGATCAAAGAGTAGATTTATACACATCCTTCTGATCCAGCCTCTGGAATGCAGGTTGTAATCAAGAGGTAAATGCATTCAGATGCTTTTACCAAGCAAATCCCTGGTTGGTGTCCTGGGGCTCCCACTCTCCTACTCTGCATTATTACCTGTTCGTGTGAATGTTTGATTTTAAGAAATGTAGCTTTGAGACAAAAGGTGAGTTACAAAGTAATTTATTTTTGTAACTTAAAAAAATTCTGTATCTATTTGCCCTCTACGGGGCCTTGATGACAACCATCTCTAATGCATGATTCTAGCACTGCCAGCTGGGAAGAGAGGTAAAATTCCAGGCATTTCTGTGGTGATGACACTGACTGGCCATGGCAGAAAACTGTGGTGGGGAAGTTTTGGTGGCCACCTGCTGCAGGAGCACCTCTGCATTTCAAGAAGTGTTAATGTGTGGGACTGTCCATGTGGCTGGAGGTAAAGGCAAGGGCTGTGAAAGCTCAAATGAGAGCTCTGACAGGGAGCTCTGACAGCTTGCATAAAACTGATGGTGTAGGAGAGGGGAGTGGCTCTGGGACACTGAGGGATTTGGACTTGTGGGGACATGGATTAATCCTAAAACTGCTTTCAAGCTCTGGAGCAGGCTGAGCAGCCCTGCTGCATCAGATGCTGGCTGTCTTGGAAGTGTTTGTGCACAACTTTGTGGTTCAAGCCAAAGCCATCAATGTAGCATCAAATACAGGAATCTTAAAGCCCATTTTTACTAGTAGAGGCCAAAACCAGGGATGGTGAGAAAAGGAATAGTCACTTTTTATGTATAAAAAAGGCTTAGTTATTGCTAAACTAAAATACTTAAAACCTGGCTATGTGACCAATAAAATGACTCCTTACTGTTAAGATGTACACAAGAATTGGAGAACGTTCAAGTTTTGCCAGTCTGAGTCCCTGCTGGCCTGAGAAGTGAGGGAATAATTTTCATGTTCCCATGAGTGCATGTCCTGGCACGTGTGAGGGGTTTTTCTGTTTAGAATTGCATAAGGGAAGTCATTATGATTGTTATGTGTTTTTGTTTTTTTTTTTAGGAGGATCCTTCCAGGGAACTTTCAGATCTGGGTGCTGTCAAAGCACAGGTTTTCTTGTAAATTAACTAGTCCAGGCACAGCATTGCACAGACACCACTCAAATGGGTCACATTTCATTTCCTTGAATCAGGGAGCCCACATTTGTGCACCAGTAACATACACAGCAAGTTTGGGATGAATACACAAGTTTGGTAATTTTTCCTAGAGGGTCTGGTTTTGGGATTCTTTCTGAGACAAAAGGTTGCCTGGTTTAGCCTTTTTGTGGCTGTGTTTTGGAAGGCAGCTGGATTCCCAAAAATGATGTAACACCCAAGCATGCTGTGCCTCATGGAGCCATCATATTTCTAGGAACACTCACAGAAAATTCCTTTAAAGTAAAATCCATGGAGGCTTAAAAGGAAAAGCAATGAAACAAAAGATCTGGGTCCTGCAAGGAAATTAAAAGGATAGTAGTTTTGGTTTTGCTATTTTGTTTTGGGATTTCTTGTTTGCTTTTTGTTGTGGTTGTATTTTGTTTTTCTTTTTTACTTTTTTCAAGGTGTTAGGAAGCATAAATGGAAATTATTGCTGCTGCCAGAAAACACCCAGCACATTGAATCCTGAGCTGCCTCAGCTGCAATCATTC